TGCTTGACTGTGTTGAATATTCCATCATAAGGGATACATTACAACCAGAAATTATTGAGAATTTAAAGATTGTATTTTTTTTTAGATTTTCACTCATTGCTCACGTATTAATGTGAATATTAGCAGAACATAACTCCAGATTCAAAGACAGGTGAACAGTTAGTATTTTGTCAAGTCACCATGGGCAGCAATGCAGGCTTCAATGCGGCGGGGCATACTACTGATCAAAGAAGTTAGAAAGTCGTGGTCAATGCTGTCCCAATATCGGACCACCTCTTCTTTCATTTCAGCAATATTTGTCAGATTTTTCTTATTGACACTTTCCTTCATAAGTCCCCAAACATTTTCTATTGGATTTAGGTCAGGGCTATAGCTTGGCCAATCTAATAATGTCATATTTTGGGTCCGAAACCAGGCCTGTGAATGCTTTGAACGATGTTTTGGGTCGTTATCCTGCTGCAAAATCCAAAAATTTCCATAGGACACGTGAGCAGATGGAAGTAAATGTCCCTCGGGAATATCTGTGTACCGCTCACTGTTCATATTCCCCTTCAAATACACAGAGGGGCGTTGCCCCTAACACAGATATGCCACCCCACACGTTCAATTTCGGACTGTACTTTGGGCGCTGATACAAGGTTTTTCAGTTTGTTTGGTCCAGAATTTCAGTGTATTAGGAAACAGCCACACAGAACTTTCATCTGAGAAAATCCCATTGTCCCAGTTAAAATTTCTATGTTGTAAGCACCAGTTCAACCTTCGCTCCTTTTGTTCAGGTTTCATGATCGTTGATGGAATTCCTCGACTTTTCTGCCAACCCATTGCATGCAGCTCTGTTCTAATTGTCTCCTTACAGACAGCCACAGTTCCTCTATCAATCATATCCAGCCTTAAGTTTTCTAAACTCCTTCGTTTGTTTTTAGAAACAAGAATACCAAGCCGCCTCCTGTCACCGACAGTCAATTTTCTGGGCCTACCTGCGCCTCCCTGGTTCTCAATGCCATATCCATTTGCAATATTTTTCAAAACACGATAAACAGTGGACAAAGGGATGCCTGTTCTACTTGAAATCACTTTTAGCTGATCTGATGTCCTTGTTATAATACTCTAAAATCAACTTCCTCTTCTCTAAATCATCCATACTGAGGATCACTGAAAATGTCGTCTGCTAGCAAGTAAACAAAGGGGGATAACTCTTCACAAACTAATGAAAAAGGATTAACGGAGTTGTCTCTTTAATGAAACCAAGCACTTGATAGCTGGTCAAGGTTGTTTGTAGTAGAAATCCAATTAAACATATTCCTAATATTCTCAATAATTTCTGGTCATACTATAAGTATTTCAAATCACGAACAATGAAGGATCTATTTAATAATATAAGTTCTCATTTAATTATTGCATTTTTAAAAGAATTAGATTTATTAAATGATTTGTAAATAGATACATATTTTATTATTGGTAGCTTAAATTAGTAACTGAGATTGTTAGTGGCTGTACCCTCAAAGAGGGTTGAAGTGGCGTAAAATTATTGTCCTCCTGAGAGGGTACGTAAGTCCAAAAATTTTCAAAGTACATTTAAACCTACCAGGATTTATAAACGTAGTATTCTTGTTTTTTTAATTTTGGCTGACATTTCTTACAATCGCCAGCAGCTGAAGAGAAGGTGTGAATCCAACTAGGGTCCGTGCAGGTAGCAAAGGTAATGTAAGTCCTCATGGTCCCTAGTGTGGTGATCTACCTTCAGTTGTTGGTGATCTATAGCCTGTTTTATATTGTGTTGTCCCTTATAGTTAAAATGTTTTAGATTTAATTACTAGCTTTGCATGTATATCTGTGATATTCTAGTGGTTTTACTGTCCTTCGATGGCAGGTCTTTAATTTCGAACTTTATTGATCTTTAATATAATTATAAACTGCTCTCGTCACGATATGGCTGAAATATTGCCGATGTGACGATAAATATTAACTCACTCACTCACTCTTTTTTTTAAGAGTGTTTATCTTCCCTGTACGAATAGTACAGACACAGATATACATTCATTACAGTGACACACAATATATATTTCCTATATAGTACAGACACAGGTATATATCATTCGCGACAGTACAGTGGCATACGATACATTTTGAAGTCGGTAAGAATATTCATCATCCAAAACTGTGTTCCACAGGAGATATTGCTGTTGTGAGCTCAAACGGTATCTCCTAGGAGATATCGTTTTGACACTAGTTTGTAAAACCTATGCTATTAAGCACAAACAGTGATACTTAAGTTGAAAACTTTAAATAAAATTTGAAACAAAAATATACTTGCAATACATCCAGCCATAATCTCGCGCTACAGATCAACACAAAGTATCGTTATATGAACCTGTATAGCTATAAACCTTATAATGAAATGTATGAACCTCAAGTGACAGACGTAACAGACAAAGAAAGGATGATTATTACTAGTTTCGTGTTTTTAGTTTCGTATCACTGGGCTGTGCTTATAACTACTGATTTTGTACAATGCCCTGACTACATCAATTACATAACTCACAATGCTCTGACGTCAAAAAACCTGATGACGTCACAATGCTATGACATCGCTGCACTGCAAGTGTAATATGGCAGTACCGTGTTCAGAGATGTACATTTTCATTGAAAGCTAATGAAGAGTGATTTTCTATGATAAATTGAATCTCACCCTCGTGTCTTCTGATATCAAATATATCAACAATCGTTGATAAAAGCCAAGCAAGCCTCAACCATTTGTTACTTTATCAACTCGTGGTGATATTTTTGATATCTAAAGACACTCGGGTGAGATTCTCTATATATCTGTGTTTATACTGTATTTGGAGATTATGACCTTCCCTTTTCCATATCTTGAACCGTATCATCCCTCGACCCATATCTGACGTCCATGCGCGGATCCAGAGGGGGTGGGGGTGGGGTGTACTACATGTTTTATGCCCAGGGTTCCGAGGATTGGGGTGCACCCCCACCCACCCACCCACACACACCCCCAAACGAAAATCCTGTATCCGCCCCTGGACGTCGGCCTAAGCAAGATATGGAAAAGGAAGGGTCTTATTAGTTTTATCACTTAATGCTAACCAAGCAAGAATCTATCATTTGTAAAACCTTTTATACCTAAAAACCCCGCCCCGATCAGATTTTATTCAACATTAATTCAACAACTGTAGAATGTCATTTGCACACGTTAATTCATCGTTGGTGTCGCTGTCGATTAGCGGACGTTGAATACGTTTGAATCGTTTACCCTCGCCCTTACTGACATAAAAATGCTTGAAAGATACAGGTCCAATACTTTTGAATCCATTTGCTAAACGTCCCGATTCTCCTTCTCCGATAGCAGTCAGGTGTCGAGCATCTTCACATCATATTCCGTTTTTCTTCTTGTGTTTTCCGTTTTTCATACTTTCAACATACGTCCGTGTCACAATAAATTCATCCTAAGGAATTTCCACCCGTTCCACTAATTAATCTGGTTCCATCAATCTATTGGAAAGCGACGGTAGCGCCCGATCACCTGCCATTTCCATCAGATGTTGCCGCAACTAAATCTGACGTCATGGAACACATCACGTTATTATAAGGTAATGCTATTTTTGAGGGCATTATCATTTGCAGAAGCCCTAGGTCTTCCATTAACTGCCTGACGAAGGAGGGCAGTTGAAAAAGACTGAGGGCTTCTGCAAATGATAATGCCCTCAAAATAGCATTGCCGTTATTATTGCTAAAATACATGCAATTTGTGCTGAAAAGAAAAAAGAAACAATGAAGGATTGTGACTATAAGTTTACTCAAAACCAACTTCTGACGGGGTTGACTGACCGAATGCAATTACGTCATCGAACAATTCAAGGGACGTCATAACAGAACGTGACGATATTCGACCTTGGCCTTTGACAAGACCATAGCCTGCAACACGTCAAAGTAAAGGCACAAGGTCAGTTTTCGGTGTTCGGTTTTGGTCCAACCACAATAGGGGCCCGTCGTTAAGGTTGAGCGGTCAAATATCATTTGCAGCGGCCCGCAAATTTCTGAGAATAGGAGGACCGTTTCATGATAATTCCATGTATTTTAACTATTAGTTATTGTATTAAGTTCCATGACGTCGTACACAAAATTGAGGGGTCAAATATAGGTTATCTTCCCCACTGGGAGCCGGGACGATATGGGTTATCTTCCCCACTGGGAGCCGGGACGATATGGGTTATCTTCCCCACTGGGAGCAGGGACGATATGGGTTATCTTCCCCACTGGGAGCCGGGACGATATGGGTTATCTTGCCGGGTCCAGATATGGACCCAACGATTTCGCCACAATATCGGTGTAGCAATAAAACCTATACACGGGGAAATTATTACGTATTAAGTGATAAGGAACAACGACGCTGCACACATTGCTGTATGGAATGGTTATCACAAAAGATGGCTATCCATCAGAAATCTCTAATCTTACAGATTGGAGTCAGAACAACTTTCCTCACTTAAATGTTAAGAAAACAAAAGAAATTAATTATATTTGATTTTAGAAAGAGGGAAAAAGCATGTAGAATAGGATCATATGAGGGATACTCCTGTATAAATTTTGCCGGAATATAAGTATCTTGGCACTATTATTGATGATAACTGAACTGGGATAGCAATACTGAAGCTCTGTAGAGAAAGTGCCAACAGAGACTATATTTTATGAGGAAATTACGATCTTGCGTTGTTTATTGGAAATTGTTGAAACTTTTCTACACATCCTAGTACAAAACGTCTTGTATTTTGGCATGCATTGCTGGTACGGTTCTCTCTTCAAAACACAAACAAATTTATCAAGAGTAACATATGAACGATAACTGTACAAAGACATTAGAAAATCAACGTGTCTGTTCCAAACTGTATTTCAGATACATGTACTGAGGCGTATCAATTTCAAGAAGGCATTTTCTTTGCAGGCCCTACTGCAGTATGGATTTTATTTTGCTTCGCCTAGTCGGAATTATCTTCTCTTGTGCAGCGAGGGGTTAATCAGGGGAAGTAACTCTAGCCGACAACGTTTCACATGGTAAAGTTTACGTTCTGACATTTCTTGTTTACAATTTTTACACATCACTTTTCTAATGTTTTGAATGAGTGTAAACAGAACATAGCTACATACATATTGTGGCAATATGGGGAAATGTCGCAATACGCGTACAGTGTTAGAATCGGTATTTGCATGCGGTTGAGAATAGCAGGAATCAGCCTATGACTGTACTGTACTGCAGTAAAGGACGTGTGAGAAGGTGTTGAAGTGTCCCCACGGATGCTGTGGGTGGCATTCGCTGAGTGTACACGGCAGAAGGGACAAGCATGTAACTGAGTGTCTGGATGACATAGCTTGGTTCACACTAGCTCTGTGGGAGGCTTCTTCAACTAGTTCCTGGTAGTGCAAGGTTTGTCGGCATTGCTCAGAGGAAATTTACACAACTCCAAGGGAGACAAAAGGACAAGTTTCAGTTTAAAGTATCACCTATATAGTTGTCAAGACAGCGGACTGCATGGACTAGACCTGTCTAGATTTGGGTTTGAACTGGTCTTCAGCATCCCAATGCTGGCTGTAAGAGGAACTAACAGGATCAGCTGGTCAGGCTTGTTGACTTGGTTGATGCATGGCATCCTGTCCCAGTTAGGTTTATTGATTCCAATCTGTCAGTCACTGGATTGTCTGGTTCTAATGTGTATTTATTGCTGCGTCATCACATGCTTTCATTATCTACACTGAAATAATATATTGTAAATAATGCATTTACATGTTCTTTCATTCATTCATTCAGATGGTACATACATAGAGATTAATACAGAAGCAATTGTGTCATACGACTTATATGAAGCGAGTGTGAAATTTTGTATTGCTTGAAACGAGAGTGAAACTTTGCACAAGTTACGTACAAGTCATGTACGTATGACACACTTGCTCAAGTGTAATAATTTCTTTATTATTCATTTCCTTCATGTACGTTTGTGCAGTAAAACACCGTAAGCAAGTGTCAACAGCCCCCTTCATTGATGAAACATTCAATTGCTTATTGACGTCACAGGCTAGGCAAAAGTATCCCTCAATACTATCTAAATATAAAGCTTTGCAACCTATTGGACTTACATGAAAACATCGGCTTGCTACGTGCCTGCATGTGCACATGTCCACATATGATATATAGGACACCGGTTATGTTTCACCATATGGGTAAAAAAATGTTCATATGGTTAATGAGATTTTATAGTCAGATGTGTAATATGAAAGTCAATGAAGCTAAAATCTGTATCAGTCGCTTCTGAGGTTCCGAGCGTGGCCATGACTCTTTGTGAGGATGAAATATGTTTTGGTTTGCCTCACTGACTTGCTATATTTCCGTCCACTAAGTCTCCCACACGCGTTTTATCTATCTCTTAGGCCATTTCTCATCACTTTTTAAAACAAATATGGGTCGGGTGAGCGGATTTCATTTTTACATTTTATGATTTTATGTCCAAAACCCTTGATTTCTGAGGAAATTTTCACTTTTTCTGCAACAGAAAATCAAAACTTAGAAGTTAGAAATATTCATGCATATTTTGAGAGACAAAGTTGCATTTTCTCTAGTGTAGGTTGTGTTTTTTTTATCTTAGGGTCTAGTCAAATTTTTTGGTTGGGCGGTAATGAGAAACAAAAATATTCTCAGAAGTTTTGAAACTTTTCAGAAATGATTTTAGATATTTTTTTGATTTTTTTGTAGTGGTTAGTTATGTTTTAGTGATCTCTGTTTCAAACTTTATTGCTCAAATTTAATAATAAAGTTATGTCTTGTATCTTTATTCTTAGTTTGTGTCTCTCTTGTGATAGTGAGACAGTTCTTGTTGACAACACAGAAGCTGCCAGTGAAGTCACATCTTGTGAAATATGGGATCATAAAATGATATACTATCCCAAAAAAGAATAACCTAGGCCAGAAATCTGTTGCGAAAATGTTGTATTTTCAAACATGTATAACTCGTCCACAAATAGACTTTAGTACATGAATTTTTACATCAGGAAATGTCTATACAACCAAGTGGATAATTTTAGATAATGGAGACGCTGAGCGCAATGGTGACGATATAGCACAGTCCTGACGTCTGGTCTCCTGTATCTCAGTCCAGTCTCTCTCAACCTGTTCCGTACAGTTTGACCTGGTATCCTCCGAAGTCCAGGCACCCTGGCTGCTGTGCTCTCACCTGTGGCAGTACGAACACGCAGATGTAGTACCCGGACGTACCTATCTTGGGCTGCAGTGGTGACTCGATGTCTGCCTGTACGGGGACGGTCATTTGTTCTACCTGTTTGGTTGTAACGAGCTGCAAGCCGTGATACTGTGCTCAGACTAACATTCAGACGTCTGGCAACATAAGATTGTTAATCTCTAGCGTGTATTCTTTCAATGGCGATGTTCCGTGTCGCAGCGTCAAGACGTGGCGTAGTGATTTGACCTTGAAACACCTACAAAATGAATGCCGATTTCTAAAAGTATTCTGGATTTTTATAGCAAGACAGTGCATGCTCTTTGCTGAACAATTTCAATTGGAAGGTGATATCTGTTGCGTTGTGTCTTTTTAATCCTTGTAAGAAATCTCATCAAAATCAACAATTTTTCCTTATCCTGACTCATGCTTATTATGCTTGTCTCCTCCTTCTATGCGAATGATAGTGGAACACTTGAAATCCCTTGTAGTTCCCTTTAAAGCGGATGTAAAAGTACACTCGCCCACAAGTTGCCTCCCTTGCTTAGTTTCCCGCCAAAACAGTCACATGACCAACCATGCTTGTCACTCTCTCCTCCATCGCCCTGGTGGATGGTTGTGGGAGCTTGGGAGTCCCTATACAGCACAATATCCTTTTATATTTCGACCCTTTAGTCAAAATTTAGCTGTATACGGTTTTCGGTCTGTATTATTCTTCATTGTATATAGGAATTATGTCCAAATTTACGTAATTATTGTTGTTTTTCATCACATGTATGTTGTTGTTTACATTTGATGAAATCGTGTTCTCTTTGCAGGTACAGGCTGTCTGCGGCTGATCCGCACCCCCTTTGTCCTTCTTGTACAAATCAATGCTCTTCCAGCTCTCACTGTCAATATTGTATTATTTTATCTACGTTGCGATTTAATATTTATTTGTTGGCCTTATTTAGACGTACTAAGGACAAGGTGCGGAGGTTATCACAAGGCATGACGGATAAAACGACAGATAACGTCAGTAACCGTGCAAATGAAACTAATATTTCTAGTGATTTACCAGGTTCGTCACAGGGGCAGTCTTCTGTTACGAAGAAGAGGGCAGCATTGAGTTGGCTTCATCGCAGTCTAAGAAGCATAAGCCATCACAGAAGAAGAAGACGTCGGCGTCGAAATTGTCTTTGAAGTCTTCCAGCTCTACTAGACCTGCTCATCAGACGTCATTCAACGAAGATATCGTCCCCCCGGCAGAGGCAGACGTCTTCGACGACCTTCCGATTTTGCTGCCAGAAGTTATCTTAGCCAGCAAAGCGTCGTAGCAGCCGTCGTCGGCAAGATCTATGTCTCCGGCCTCTTCATCAGCGCAGCAGATGATTAGAGATTGTCCGTCAGCTTTGCAGACATCGGGTGCCAGAGAGAACATCAGTATTTCTTTACCTCGATCACAATGCAGATTAGAAGTTGAGTCCATGTTCTCAGATGTGTCGTCTACTCCACATCAGTCAGTGCAGAACTTTGACCTGGGTGCGTTTATGAAGCAATTCACCCAGCAGATGCTGTCCTTGATGGAACAGAGGTTTGCCGAAGAGAAGAGGCTACAGCAAGCTTCGGCGATAGCAGTACCCAGAAGAGAATCCCCACCACAGTAGGCAGCACTCGTGGATCATCAGTTGGCGAACACAGCAGTCGCGGATCATCGTTCGTCGAACGCAGGCACGACGCAGGATCACCAGCGTTCGAGAAGGTCTTCACCTACTGAGGATTCAATGTTGTGCAGTCTGGAATGATCCGCGAATGTGGATGAGGAGGATTCAGTTCGAGAAGGTCGCCGTTCCATCTCCAGGGAAGCTCCTCCAAGGCGCGAACGCACCACGTCAGTATCAAGCAGATCTCACAGTCACAGATCTACTTCACCGGCCTACAGGGACGATCGTTCGCGAACACGAGATTCCAGCCATGATGAGCATTCGCGAAGGGACCCTAGGAAGAACTCACGATTGGAGCATGTGTGAAAGGATTCGCATAGACACAGCTCGTCAGACAAGGATGAAGAGAGCGACGGGATCTTCGCCGATGCAGCAGCTACTTCATGGATCGCGAGTGGTCTCAACTTAGCGTCTCCATCCAAGGAACGGAATGAAGCACTCACTTACAGAATGGTTAATGACGATTTTGATTCGCTCACGATCCCGCCTATTGAGCTGATCGTAAGAGTCCCGGCAAGCCTCAGCTCAGCTTTCGAGAAAGCAGCGAAGTCACAGAACCAGCACGTATCAGCTTTTAATGGGCGAAGATTCCCTCTTCACCACATGGAGCTGTTTGTAAGAGCCTCGGACTTGGATGAAAATTACTGACTTATCAACGATAGTCGCAGTAAATATGAAGTGGAAGATAAGAAGATTGCACAGTTGGATACCACAACTAGATGCACATTCTTCTGCCTGGCTAGATCGAGAGCAATCAACGAGGCACTCATCACAAAGTTCCAGAACTCTCGTTCAGATGAGGATAGGATGATATTATCTGCACTTCTCACCCAGAAGAGGGATCAACAGTTCATGTCGGACCACTTGGCATCTATATCTGCGGGCCTTACTCTGTTACAAAGACAAGGTCTTCTGCCATCCTGCAACTTGAACGAAAGATATACCAAGTCACTCCTGAGGGCCCCATGGTCAGCGCCTACTACTCACTACTCTAGAGAAGTGATGATGATCAAGTTGATCGACACCTTAGCGAATGTCATCCACCAGACGTCTCATCATTACAGCAACAAATCCAAGTTCGCGAATATCCAAAAGGCCAAGGAGAGGAAATATTCCAGTTCCAGGG